GGTGTGAATGGGATTCGAATCCGCAATCCACAGTTTTTGTTGACATATCAGTAGATTTTTACGTATGCACCATCAATGGCTCCCAGCATTTCTAACCGATATCACATTTCAGTCCACGTTCGCTATAGCATGCCCACGGTTACAATGGCGATAGCTTCCGCTATCCTAATGTTTAGAACTGTGATGGTTCTATACGTGTGCGTTACAGCGATATCCTTAACATACCCCCCATACAACTTTCCTGTACTGTCGTCTGTAATTACACCACAGTCACTGACGTCGTCTCTGCAAGACAAACAACACATTGAACCTCTTCTTGCACGGTTGCCATCTTACAGGGTATCATTATTAATTGGAGGGAAAGAATCACGTGACAATAAAAACTGTTTGAGTTGGACTACTAGATGTTGAAAACTGTATTTCCTTAGTTATGTAATTATTAAATTTTAAAATAGGAAAATAATTTTGGGCTACCCTCTATATTGTTGGTTAGTAGCTGTATAATATTATACCTGTTATTGCTGGTCTTATGTGTTGACAGGTATATCATATAGGTATATCACATGTATATATTGCTACAGTATATGCTGGTATTTGAGTGAACGGTCAATATTTTATTCTTTGTTTAACGTGTTGTTAACCTTAAGTTATAGCGGGAGTTTTGTGTTAAATAGTTTGCGATTTATCCTTGCCGTTTCTACAGTTTCTGTGTGTGTTTTAACGGGTATGCTTAATTTTTTTTTTGGTGTGTATGTCCGACCTTATATTTTCTAGGTAGATATTATATGATTCGTCTAGTGTTTACACGCCTACATTGTACTTACCGTTCTGTATGCATGGTTGGCAATGTTTAGCTAAAGATCATAATGATATGAACTCCAAAAGATGCTGTAAGTCACAAGGCTCTAGACTTTCAAAATGAATACTGTACTTTTAGCCTCAGTGACTCAGCGGTAAGTGTGAGACCTTATAGCGTTACAAGTCGGGGTTCGATGCCCGGACTGGGCAAAGTACAGATGGTTCATTGTGTTGCTTTGTGCTTAAGGAAAAACAAACAAACCGCAACTGTTAATTTTAAATAGGATACCCAAACACAGAAACCGTTCCACAACTCATCCATGTACTTAGGCACCAGAGGGACAAGGTGTGAACGTAGCCGAAATCCCTTTTCATTGGATGAACTTTCCTTTATTAAATGCAAGGGTAGAAAACAGCATCATACAATTTCGTGTGCCCATATTAAACTATTATTTTTTTAATGCAAAAACAATAAATACAAGTTAGATATTTGAAAGGAAAAATGAGAGAGATATAAATATCAGTAAATGTTTATTTTCATCAAAGTATTCAAAGCAGTCAAAACACTAATATGTTAAAATAATAATGTAGTATCACATAAATGTGTTGAATACTCGTGCCCTAAGAATTTCAGGAGAAATACCTAATGCAACTGGAAAGCTACTCAAACTTGTTTTAACGTACTTTAATATCTAAACATCATTCAAAGGCGTGCGATAAAACTGGAACTAGAAAAAAAGTTGCTTGAAGTGGATTTCGTTTACTGGAATCCCAAATCCACGTGTAATAATTTCAGAGCTGCATTAACACGGCCCATCTTTGACAGCCAAATATCGCAGATTGATATATTGGTCAGGAGCACCGGTTGGTACACTAAACTTCACACCAACCTGGTCAAACAAGACAGCAAGTATGTTAACTAAGGTACAATAATACCTGGTCTAATCTGGTCAAACGAGACAGTTAAGTATGTTAACTAAGGTACAATAAGACCTGGTCTAATCTGGTCAAACAAGACAGCAAGTATGTTAACTAAGGTACAATAATACCTGGTCTAATCTGGTCAAACGACCTTAGTTAACATACTTAACTGCTCTTGTTTGACCAGATTAGACCAGGTGTTGTTGTACCTTAGTTAACATACTTAACTGTCTTGTTTGACCAGATTAGACCAGGTGTTGTTGTACCTTAGTTAACATACTTAACTGTCTCGTTTGACCAGATTAGACCAGGTATTATTGTACCTTAGTTAACATACTTAACTGTCTCGTTTGACCAGATTAGACCAGGTCTTATTGTACCTTAGTAAACATACGTGACTGTCTTGTTTGACCAGATTAGACCAGGTCTTATTTTATCTTAGTTAACATGTCTACTGTCTTGTTTGACCAGATTAGACCAGGTCTTATTGTACCTTAGTTAACATACTTAACTGTCTCGTTTGACCAGATTAGACCAGGTGTTGTTGTACCTTAGTTAACATACTTAACTGTCTTGTTTGACCAGATTAGACCAGGTGTTGTTGTACCTTAGTTAACATACTTAACTGTCTACAACAACACCTGGTCTAATCTGGTCAAACAAGACAGTTAAGTATGTTAACTAAGGTACAACAACGCCTGGTCTAATCTAGTCAAACGAGACAGTTAAGTATGTTAACTTAGGTACAATAATACCTGGTCTAATCTGGTCAAACAAGACAGTAGACATGTTAACTAAGATAAAATAATACCTGGTCTAATCTGGTCAAACAAGACAGTCACGTATGTTTACTAAGGTAAAATAACACCTGGTCTAATCCGATCAAAGAAGACAGTTAGTCAGATTAATATGTGTACAAAAATTGGTGGTTCAACCAGGTTATCAATTAAGCACGACAGTTAAACATGTTATCATGTACGCAAGGACTGCTGGTATAATCTGTTAAAATATGACATTTAAGCATGTTAACACGTGAAGAACTGCTGGTTTAACCAGGTTAAACAAAGATTGTAAGCATGTTAACATTTGTACAAGGACTTCTAGTTAAATAAACACCAATTGTTGAATATCGATCGCTATTCAAAGGTAACAAGTAATTATAATAATAAAAAATGGCAACATGGGAATAATCGAATATAAGTTTATAAGGTTGGTTTAATTGTACCAGGAATCTAAGAAGAAATTAAGTTTCAAAAATCTAAGTATTACACTACGTTGTGGGGCTTTCACTGTTCACTAAAACAGAAATTCATTTTAAGAATGATAAAAGTACTGTTAGTTTAACGTTGTCATGGTTAGTTGTCATAACCTCGCCGTAAGTACTGTTAGTTTAACGTTGCTATGGTTAGTTGTCACAGCCTTGCCTTATGTACTGTTAGATGAACATTATCATGGTTAGTTGTCACAACCTTGCCGTAAGTTTGTTAGTTTAACGTTGTCATGGTTAGTTGCCTCAATGGTAATGTAAGTACTGATAGTTTAACATTGTTATGGTTAGTTATTACAATCTTGCTGTAAGTTTTGTTAGTTTAACGTTGTCATGGTTAGTTGCTTCAACGGTATTGTAAGTACGGTTAGACTGTTGTTATGGTTAGTTATTACAACGGTATTGTAAATACTGTTGACTGTTGTCATAGTTAGTTATTACAACGGTATTGTAAATACGGTTGACTGTTGTCATGGTTAGTTATTACAACGGTATTGTAAATACTGTTGACTGTTGACTGTTGTCATGGTTAGTTATTACAACGGTATTGTAAGTACTGTTGACTGTTATCATGGTTAGTTATTACAACGGTATTGTAAGTACTGTTGACTGTTGTTAAGAGATATTCTACTAGTAGCTGTTCGTCACAGTTTACTTTGTTTTTATAGCTCCATTAATAGCTATATTGACAATTTTAAATTTTACAGACATTAAGTCCTGTTAATAAGTACCCCCAAAGGCTCAGCGGTAAGCGTGAGGAGTTTTAGCACCAAAATTCGGGCTCGATCCCTGCTGTGAGCATAATACAGATGTTCAATTTTGCATCTTTGGGCTGAAGAATTAATATTAAGGTAGTCTAATAGGAGAATAAGTAACAAAATCTGTGAGAATGCATAAGATTTATAATAATCAAAGCTATACAGTTAAATGTAGGCATAATGACAAACTCTTATCATCTATAAAATGCGGTGATGAAGTCGTGAGCCAGATCAGATATAAAATTAATCACGTTTTTTGAAAATAGAAAAAAAAATCGAGATTTGATAGGTATCGAACCTAGGATTTTTCTTGCCGGCAGGATGCTATTCAGTCCTTAAACATATATATATATATATATATATATTTGGAATTCTCTGTGTAGGCAGTCTGTTTTTTCCACTCTATATGTAAAATCCAAAGTGCGAACAGTTTCTGCAATAATCTGTTTTGAAATATTATAAACTTTTCCCCTGATATTCTTCATAATTATGATTGTATGTTATATTTCCATTTAAGCTTCAAGCTCCCATTTCCACTTTTCAGTTACTACCCAATCATTATGAATACTTTCTCCCTTCTCACGTAAGAAGTGGAGAGACTAAACCATGTAGATGTTATTGTTAGAAGAACGTTTCTGAAACATTTAGTCAATACTTAGATAGATACCTGTGTTGCAGCGTTCCACTGAAGATTAAGGCTATATTTGGCCCAAGATGAAGCGTCTGCAACCACTTGCGCGTTAAATACATAAGAGTACGCCGGTATCTGAACATTCAGGTTCAGATTATTGTTGGAAACGTCAGAAGCAGTATCAGGTCCCTTGCGGTATTCAATCTGTACACACATGTTGTTATGGGAAACCACTTTCTTGCTAAACACTAGTGTTGTTGACGTTCCTCCACTAAGTACTGCTTCCTTGTAGACTCCTACACATAGTGTTAATGAATGAAAGTTCATTACACATCTAAACACCACTATATAACTTAAAAGATGTAGACCAAATGTGATAACTTAGGGAGTTATGATAAGTACAATGCTGTTAATATTTACAAACATCAAGACAGTGCAGGAAATTAACATCCAATTATGAAATACAGATATTAGAGTAAACTAAAGATTTTATCCAAACCTTTTTTATTTTATTAACATGACATCAAACATCAGGAGGGGAAGCTAGTTAGGTTGGTACAAACATTTGATTAACATCAGAATTATCTTTCAGAGTAGGTTTAGGTTTTGTTTTGTGAATCTTCTTTAGACAAAAAAACAAAACAAAAAAAAAACGACATTTTTCTCTTATTCCTTTGAAGACGTTTCGGTCTATATGTCGAAAAATGCCTCAACATCGAGACTGAAACGCCAGGATTGTAATATATTCAATTATCGAGGTAATGTACTTTCTTGTAAACAGTCACCTGGATAATCTAGTTACTTGTAAACAGTCACCTGAATAATCTAGTTACTTGTAAACAGTCACCTGAATAATCTAGTTACTTGTAAACAGTCACCTGGATAATCTAGTTACTTGTAAACAGTCACCTGAATAATCTAGTTACTTGTAAACAGTCACCTGAATAATCTAGTTACTTGTAAACAGTCACCTGGATAATCTAGCTACTTGTAAACAGTCACCTGGATAATCTAGTTACTTGTAAATAGTCATCTGGAGAATGTAGTTTCTTGTAAACAGTCACCTGGATAATCTAGTTACTTGTAAATAGTCATCTGGAGAATGTAGTTTCTTGTAAACAGTCACCTGGATAATCTATCTACTTGTAAACAGTCAACTGGATAATCTATCTACTTATAAATAGTCACCTGGATAATCTATCTACTTATAAATAGTCACTAGGATAATCTATATATTTATAAATAGTCACCTGGATAATCTATCTACTTATAAATAGTCGTCTAGAGAATGTAGTTTCTTGTAAACAGTCACCTGGATAATCAAGTTAGTTGTAAACAGTCACCTGGATAATATAGTTACTTGTAAACAGTCACCTGGATAATCTAGTTACTTGTAAACAGTCACCTGGATAATCTAGTTACTTGTAAACAGTCACCTGAATAATCTAGTTAGTTGTAAACAGTCACCTGGATAATATAGTTACTTGTAAACAGTCACCTTGATAATCTAGTTACTTGTAAACAGTCACCTGAATAATCTAGTTACTTGTAAACAGTCATCTGGATAATCTAGCTACTTGTAAACAGTCACCTGGATAATCTAGTTACTTGTAAATCGTCATCTGGAGAATGTAGTTTCTTGTAAACAGTCAACTGGATAATCTATCTACTTATAAATAGTCACCTGGATAATCTATATATTTATAAATAGTCACTTGGATAATCTATCTACTTATAAATAGTCATCTAGAGAATGTAGTTTCTTGTAAACAGTCACCTGGATAATCTAGTTTCTTGTAAACAGTCACCTGGATAATCTAGCTACTTGTAAACAGTCACCTGGATAATCTAGTTACTTGTAAACAGTTACCTGGATAATCTAGCTACTTGTAAACAGTTACCTGGATAATCTAGCTACTTGTAAACAGTCACCTGGAGAATGTAGTTT